AAACAAAAAACTGATACTTACTGTTCATGCACAACAATAGCAACAATATGAAAATAACACTTGTGTAGAAATATAGTCTGGGACACCCATTTACTTTCCTATCAAAAGTTTTCTGAAACATAATCCATCTTCTTTCTCCCTAACGTTGTAATTGTCATAGCTTTTTTTTAACATTCTGAGCATCAGAAAATTATTCTTTTTCATCCTTTTAATTGTCTAAACAAAGAGAAGCCAGACATGTTCCTTTTCCACTCACCTGCCACCACGGAGAGTTTTATGGGTTGTTGTTGTCACAACATCAGCATATTCAAAGGGTGAAGGTATGACTTTAGCTGCAACAAGGCCACTGATGTGTGCCATATCAGCTAGTAATATAGCTTTTACATCATCACAGATCTACAAAAAAAAAAATTTGTAAAATGTACCTTATTTTATTCCTATAAATTTTTTTACAGCTTCATATTTTATTAATATACAATAAAAACTTGACATGACTTAACATATAAAGATTTTTACTCAAAAAGTTTTTCCAAACTCTGAGGATGTTTTTTTTAGAGTAAAGTTATTTCATTGAATTGATATTATGTCTTTATATCTAAATAAACAACTGACTAATAAAATTCAATCAAGGCTTCACAGAAAACGATTAAGAACCTTTTAAGGAATATCATTATTGGTATGTATACCATGGTATTCTAATACACTGGTTATTAAAGCACGGTAAAGAAATGAAAAACAATCAGCATTGTTAATATGTGTACCTACAGTTCTTGTATTTGTTACATATTTCTTTTTAAAGAGGTTTTAAAGTGTTTTTTTTACTTAATGTTGTTATCACTTTAATATACACCATTACTGATTTACTTAATGTTGTTATCACTTTAATATACACCATTACTCAAACTTACCATTACTGATTTACTTAGTGTTGTTATCACTTTAATATACACCATTACCCAAACTTACCATTACTGATTTACTTAATGTTGTTATCACTTTAATATACACCATTACTCAAACTTACCATTACTGATTTACTTAATGTTGTTATCACTTTAATATACACCATTACTCAAACTTACAATTACTGATTTACTTAATGTTGTTATCAATTTAATATACACCATTACTCAAACTTACCATTACTGATTTACTTAATGTTGTTATCACTTTAATATACACCATTACTCAAACTTACCATTACTGAGTATAATGTACATCATAGGGTGTATTTATTTATTTGGAGATGTACTGTACCTACAAAGGTATTTACTTGTATGTATTAAGATAGGAAACATAACAATATTAAGTTATCAGAAGACCTTATCTTTCCTGTATAATTTTATTCATTCATTCACTAACAGAAAATTATGTAATAAGAATAAAAGTAAAAACACTGATTTTTTGTTTTGTAAGGCAAGAATACTGGTTTGAAATATCAAGAACATCCTATCAATTTAAGAAGCCAAATAAATGATAAGAGTTGTTGGTAAGAGATCATAAAGATAAGAATAAAACTAACTGATATAAACATTATCCATATTTATTGGTTGACCTTTTACCAATCAACACACTAAGTGTAGTAATATGTACGCATTGTGTTCAATAATTACAAGAACAAAATGTAAATTAAATGAATTAAAAAAGTTTCCTTTTTTTACGGGTATACAAAAGTCTTTGTTTAATGCAACATATAATAAAAAATCTGAACACTAACCCTACCACTCCTTTTAGCATTATCCAAGACAGCCCCAATTTTAATGTATACATACTGTATATCTTACTCTTTTTGCTTTCATTTCATGATATTCCTTACATTGCTTTTGTGAAGTATATTCTTTCAAGTTTACCTTTCTCAAATAACAGGACTTTCCAATTCTTCAAAATTCTTAGTTTAGAATAGGTAATTGACAATACAAGCCATTGAACCCAGTCAGCTGAGTTATTCCAAGTATAACCATGAAAAACATTTAAAGAAAGAGTATAGAATTTATTTTTCTTTAGTGCTTTAGCCAATCTGTGATGATCCTGCCCAAATACAGTAGATTTTCTTTGTCATATGTTTATTTCAACAAGTTCTGTTCTTTCTGCCTGAAAACAACTGAATTATGTTTCTTTTATCTGCCAACTTACAAAGGAATATACATTGAAAAAAGCTAATATAAAATTACACTCTATTGTGTAAAAAATATATTTCATGCTGCTTTTAATGGTGATATCTTATTTTCAAATATTACAAATATGCCAACGTTAGCCTGTAAGAACATTACACCCTCATAATCCTAGCTGGGTTTAAGTATGTATTCATTACAAAAAAACCAAATCCTCTAAGTATATATATATATATATATTTTATATAGGGTGTATATAAAATATATATATATTTTATGTACACCCTATTGTTTATGTAAGATGCTTCTAGTTACAGAGTAAACAATAACAGAGTCTGCTACACTACAGTTTGTTCTAGACTGCTAATCAAAGAACAACTGACTTATGCATCAGATCTTCTACAACCCTTGAACCTCAGATGAAACAAGTCTCTGATTCAGACTCATACAAATGCCAATACAAGTTTTTGGATTTTATGAAGTATTACTTAAAAGAATGAGAAATACTTCTAGGTCATAGTACTCATAAGTTTAAACACACCTGATGCACAATTTAATTATTAATTATAAAATGTTAAATAACAGTTGAATCTAACTTTTAAATTATTTCTTGAAAAAAACACTAAATGGTTGATGTTCTTTATCAATAAATCAGCTAAGCTGGTGAGATCTCATTAAGTTTGAAACTGGTCTTGACATGGGTTGTGATATCCAATATGAGCTAAAATGGTTCACATTACGTGAGGATCTAGCTTTGATATATTGAGTTTTATTTATTCATTTATTTTAAACAACTACTGCTTTAAATCTAAGTCTGTTGAATGTACATTATGTTCTATCATCAGTACAACATTATGAATATTTCAGGATAGAAAACTAAAAATGCAATATATTGTAAATATATATATATACATATATATATAAATAAACTGAAAACCAACCAATAAAATCTCAACACGTTTCTTACCTCACGAAATCTTTTATAATCCAACAAACGAGAATAAGCACTAGTTCCTGCTATAATTAATTTTGGACGAACAAGTCGAGCTAGTTGATTTAATTTTTCATAGTCTATAAGTCCAGTTTCTGGCTAGAAAAAAAAAAACAACAATTATTTTGATATTCTTTTGAAAAATAGAGGAATAAGTTAATTTTTCAGGTATTGAGAAAGATATATTATCATTACAGTAACTGTTTTACCATATGAAAACAGACTAAGATTCCAAAAAAAGTGCTATGCAAACATCATACATCTAGATGGCTCACCCAAAACTTTTACTGTTAAATAGTTACAAAAACAATAATGATTAAAACCTATGATATTATTACTTTTTGTATTAGTATATGTGAAAAAGTAGAGTTTTGGGATTAAAACTAACTCTCAAATTCTACCCACCAGTCATATTTCTGTTAATTTACACAAACAAATTATGATTTTAGTAAAGTACACAAATTTTTCCTTACTGAAATACAATAATTATATTCAAAATACTTTTCACGGACTGTTGAAAGGAACTTCACTAATTACAATGATGTGTGTGCTAGGTGTGCTCTAATTATCTATATTTGGAATGTAACTTGGTTAGTTTGCTTGATCAATACAGTTGAAGATACAGCAAGACCCTACTTAGCACCAACCCACTTTAAGCTGATTCATTATAGAGCTCTTGTCTCCTTGAGAGTATTTTTTTTTCACAAGAGAGAAAATCAATTATGAAAATCTATAACTCTCTGAGCACTACTTTTTCATACTAATGGTAGTAGTGCACTAAATAATTTTTATTTAATAAAATAATGCAAAAAGAACATAGAATAATAACATACAAGAAGCAGACAATGTCCTGCAACTGTCACAATTCTTCTGGCATTTCTAGAGATGCAATATGAACTGTTAAAATGTCATCCATCTACACAATATCATTTGCATAGGTTTGTTTGTTTGTAATTAAACATAAAGCTACACAATGGGCTATCTGTGCTCTGCCCACCGTGGGTATCAAAACCCGGATTCTAGCATTGTAAATCTGCAGACATATCGCTGTACTAATGGGGGGCCATCCCCGTAATGAAAAATATTTTCTTAGGAAATGATCTACAAATCTCTGTACATAAAACAATGTAATACAATAAGCTATTTGATAGAAGAAAACCTTCCCTGTCTATTGGTTATAACTAAAATAGTCATAAACGTAAGGAAGAACTACATGTATTGACAAATCCTGAAAGAGAGGATGTGACAGAGGGCGTGGCAGGAAGGGTCTGATTTTATAGTTAATGGCTCTGTAACCATATTTGCTTTTTTCCAGTGATGACGATATTATAGTGAGTAATTTACGTTAAACTTACAAGTACCTAAATAAAGCACTTATACATCATTCACAGGCAAGAAACAATGCCTTCAGTTAAATATCTCCATGTATGTAATGTTAAAATGACCCTGTTCAGGGCTGATTAATTTATAGCTCTGTTCTCAGGAACCCTTCCTGACCACTAAACGGGGTATTACTGTACATTGGAATTTGGTAGGTGAATAAATAAAACTTCCTGAACATTGTAGTAAATGAAAAGATTTTTGAAGTAATTTCAGTACTTTTACCGTAGTTGAAATAACTGTTTCAGATGATACTATACAAATATTCACTACATTTCATTATATATATATTTAGTTAGTTCATACTAGTTAATAGTAATATAAAAATGTTTCACCAAATGATCAGCAACATTTTCATGAGATGTTGTGAGCTAGTCAAATAAACTGATATGTGTTGTTAACTGACCCTTTCTTATTGATAAGTCAAATGATTTAATCTTCAATTAAAGCTTTTTATAAATTTATTATACTTACATTCAGTTTATATCCTATCGACTCAAAAAAAATAGATGTTGCCGAAACTCTCTTTTGATCACTCATATAGCCATGTGTAAGGCTGTGGAGGTAAACATAAAGAAACTTCTAAAATACTACTACATAAGTAATTTGATGGCTATATAAAAATGTTGTGATTTTGATAATAAACTTAAAATGTGCTACAAAAATTACTACAAAATTAGTAATTTTGATTTACATACATAAAGGAAAAAAGTTACTATGGTGGCCACAATAGTTCTAAGTTACTGTTATTCATTTAACTTAACAGAATAGTAAATTTTTCATTAAAACTACACCTCAATTTCTAATATCTCCATATACAAGTACAACCTAGTAAATATTTGTTTTTATCTGTACACTGTCAAAAAAATATTCAGCAAGCCTAAGAAATATATTTTTTATTTCAGACATTACAAAAAAACTGCAGTTTCATGCATCCTTTTCAAGTCACTGACTATTTTAGAGGAAACTGTCAAGTGTTGGAGAAGAGGTGGGAGCACCGAACAAATTATTAACTTAATTCAACAACTGACCAATAGAAAATGCAAATGATTATGTAAATATACTATCAATTGTTACTGATCATGATATATATATACAAAAACTGTATAAGAATGTGTTAACTGCTCCTTAATTACAAGACAATATGTGTAAATGTCTGAATATTGATATAGAATATATAGCATTTATTCCCATTAAATTTCAATACTTACTGTCCTCCATCTGGTAGATCTAAACCCATGAGTCTGTCATGAGGCTTTAGAAGTCCAGTATATGCAGCAAAGTTAGCAGGAGAGCCTGAATACGGTTGGACATTAACACCCCACTTTTCTGGATCCAGATCAAATGCTTCTAGTGCCCTCTTTTGGCATAGTAACTCAATCTTGTCTATAACTTCAGTTCCACCATAATACCTAGATGAAAATTAATTGTATAATATATTACCTTAGAAGCACAACTGAGTATATATCATAATACATCATTAACTCTTTCCCACAATCCATTCAAATATTTGCAACTAAAAAGTGCTTACAGATAAAATCTGTAATATTATACCTATGACAAAGCAAACTCCAGTATCATAAAATAACATCAGTCATGTGATCTTAAATGCAAAATATTAATCATTCAACCTTTGCCATATATATAGTGTTTTGACACAGTCATCACTTTAAAGTGAATCACCAAGTTTAAAGTGATTCAAATTATTCAAAATCCATGGATATCATTCAAAGATGACATGGAAGTTTCACTCAAGTGGAAAGCCATCAAATGATAGTTTATCACTGAGGTTACTGTTAATTGGCTACAAGTGTATAAAAATGTCATTAGCAAAATGAGGAACCACTTCAAGCTAATTGTGCAGTTACTCATACACCAGGAAAAGACAGACCACCATTAACAACAAAAGTACACAACTGTTATCTGTCAATTATGGCATGTTACAATTGTAGGAATTTACTCCAAGACTGATTTAAATGTTCATAGTCACAACTGGTGAACAAGACAAGTCTATATTTCCAGATGCCCATTGAAGTACCCTTTTCTCACAGCAAGATACACAACAGCTCACTTGTACATGTGCCAAGAGTACATCGAATGGACATATGAGTCACAATTTACCCTGTAGCCAGATAACAAGTGTATACTTGTTTGAAGAACATATGGAACCAAATTCAACCTCATTTGACTATAGAAATATGGTGCATATGGTGATGGTAGAAGTATGCATTAGATGATGCACTATCCCCTACACCCAGTAAAATAGTACCATTAATTCCACACATTACTGGGACCAAGTTCTATGGCAATAGGCCTTAACTTAAGCCTAATGGATGAAATCATCCACCAACACTATATAAAACTGGTCAAAACATTTCTTGGGAGATTAAAAAAAAAGAGAGAGAAAGATATTAACAAAATGAGATGTACTGCATGTTTAATTTTATCATATACGTATAGGATACTTTTGTCATGTGACAAATTAACAAAATGAGATGTACTGCGTGTTTAATTTTATCATATACGTATAGGATACTTTTGTCATGTGATAAATTAACAAAATGAGATGTACTGCATGTTTAATTTTATAATATACGTATAGGATACTTTTGTCATGTGACATCAGTCACTGATGATGACCCTTAAAACACAGCTCTTTCAGAGGAGTAAGTCTCATGACCTTACCAACACTCTTAAGTTTTAAACATGCAACATTAGTTCAAGGCTGCTCTTACAATTGTGGATAACAAATTTCATATTGAAGTGAGATGTTATCAACTATAAAGATATAAAGCCAACCATTACCACAATGTTAATTTATGAGCATAGGCAAATAATCAATCAATAGCATTTAAAAGTTACACAAGTGTCATCAGATGCCCGATTTATATAAAAATGAACTGAGGAGAGATTATTAACAATGCTTTTCCCTTGTAATGCCAAATATTATAAATTATATATAACTATTCTTTACATTCTAATTGTTTTCTACAGTATAAAACATACTGCACATGTTCGTTTAATAACTTGTCAGTAATTTAGAGTTCAAAATACAAGAAAATGTTATGATCAAGTAAGTTTGTTAAAAATTATTTTGTATCATTGTTATGATTGTCAAACTATACAATCACCTAAAGCAAATTATCAATTAGTTACTAGTTGATAACTAGAGACTAAGAGATGCTAATGTATGCTATCTGATTGCCACAACATTAGTATAAGTACTTTATTTCATAATTCATTATATTCTAATTGCTAATATATACCTACAAAAAATTAAAATTTTTTTGATTGAAAAATAAATTTTTTAACATCCAGTATACTATAAATAATTATTTTTAGAAACAATTACAGTAGCCAGCATTGATTTTATTAATAACCCTTTAGGAAAATAAACTGTCTGATTAAAACTTCATAGGAATTACTTTCTTTTCATTACCTCTGTCCTGGGTATCCTTCCGAGTATTTGTTGTTAAGACAAGATCCTAATGCTTCTAGGCAGGCTCGGCTGGCAAAGTTCTTAAAAAAGAGGCAATTCATACCATTAATTCAATAACCACTCTATGAATAGTTTAGAACACTACATTCACATATACACACACTTAGGTATTATTAGCTAGTATTTACTACAAAATAATTAAATATGTAGGCACAGATTGTTACAAGTAAAAATAAATATAAAAGAACCTATCAAGACATACAGTCCATCAATATGTACATGCTACAGAAAGAAAAGTACCTTTCAAAAACTTTAATTACTTTTAAATTGAATAAAAATAATAAGGAATAACTGGAAATTTTTATCAACTATTTTCTAACTGCCACCTTACTTAGATAAAGACTAACTTTTCCAACTGGAATACATAACAGTACAAACCTCAGAAGCTATTAATTCCAATCCATTTTTTTGTCGTCTCTTTTCTTCTTGTACAAGTTCCCATATTTCTGGGTCATCTTTTGATAGTAGCTCATTACCAGACCACTCTTTATCCTGACACCATTTGGAAGAAGTAGAAAAACTGGCAACAGAACATACTACTCTCGGTATCAATGTCTCTATGGTTTTGAATGCTACTGCCTATTGAATTTAATAATATGAAATCAGTAGATGAAAATTAATTTTTCTTAAAGCTAGAAAAAAGCAACTAAAAACTGTATTCAAAATAGATCTCATTCACAGTAAGGAAATCAGCAAAATACTCAATCTTTTGTAAACTAACTAAAATTAATGACAAACCAGATATCATAATTATAGTATTTTGGCACTTGTGTATAAAGTTAAAATCATAAATAATATTCAACGTTAAACTGGTACACAATTGTGTACCAGTTTA